AGGGGGCAGAGCAAATGTTTGAGAAAACCTTCCAATATGAAAGAGAAGGTGAGAATAAAATAAAATGAAAATCATCACAAATTTGGTAGAAAAAGTGTATGTAAGAGCAAACAAGTTATTAAAGTCTTTCTAATTAGACTTCTTAGTAATGAAAAGATATTGCATCTATAAGAGTAATAATAGGGAACTAAAAGTTGAAAAATTTAATAGCAAGTCTGGAAAATTAAATCAAGAAAATCTCCCTAAAAGAAAAAATGTAATATATGATAGAAAAATATAAAACAGGAATAGACCAAGGAAGTCCAACATCAAGTTAACAGAACTAGGGGAAAAAAAGGAAGAGAGAAAATCACCACAATAAATAATAAGAAAAAATTTCCAGCTATAAAGGACTTAATTCTTTACATAAAATGGTACTGTCAAATATTTAGCAAAATTAATTTTAAAAGACTCATCATTTTTAAAATTTCAGAACCTCAAGGGTTAAAAGAAGATTATAAAATATCTCAAAGAGAAAAAAATAAAACAAACTGAACAGAGAAAAAAATCAGACTGCCAGATACTTCCATTGTTAAGAAAATGAGAAAAGCCAAAAAGTTCTAAAAGAAAATTATTTTCTATTGTAAATGTACACCTTTTCAAATCTACAATCAGGCATGAAGACAGAATAAAATTACTGATACCTCATGTTGCAAGAGGGAGAGGACAGGAAGGGTAGTGATGCCAATGCCTCCATGTTTCAAGAAGACATTTTAAGAGACATCGGCCATACTTAAAGGAAGAAAACACAAAAATATGTTTAAATTACAAAGAGAAACTGAAAGAAGAATTATGTAAGATAACTCATGAGTTAAAGCAGGATTTTAGACGTTAGGCTGTTACGCATTCACAAAAAGTTCTCACCCTAACCCCAGGGAGTTCTGAAGCTGCAAGAGCCCTTCAGAGCTGGCCCAAGGCCGGGCGGCTCAGGGCCTTGCTAGCCCCACACTGAGCCGTCACGGGAGATAAGTTTCCCCTGGGAAGTGGGGTGAAACTGGGTGAGGTGGCCATCCTCACCTACGGTAATTCCACAGGAGGGCTAACAGCTGGGGGCTGTCAGCAGCAACATTAACGGCAACTAAGGGAATAAATTCTCAGTCCCAAAGGGAGGACTCTAGGTGGATCAGGACAGCATCCACTACAGGTGTACTCTTATAGTCACTGGGAATACATATATATTCAGGTGGAAGGAAACAAGTGATTCTAAGAATACATTGTGTCTTAACTTTCATTAACTCAGATGATTCACCTTTTGACTTAGGAACTTTCTTCCTTCAATTAAACATTCTATTATAATCAAGAAGGGCAAAGTTATGTTGCAGTAGAATCTTAACCTGCAGTTGAAAGTAAATCTCAGTGGCTTAACTCAGTAAAGGGAACCCAACTCCACAGTCCTTCAAGGGACTCAGGTTACGGAGTTTCCAACACCTTGCACACCTTCACCTCAACAATGGCTCAGACTGCGTAGTAGGAAAACACAAAGCAGGCAGAGTTTACACCCACTTTTATGTTCTATTAGCTGGTACTGCTCACATGACCCCAACCTGACCCCAGGTGAGGGTGGGACATGTGCGCAAGGTTATGGAATACTGGTGGGCGCCACTGTCCCTGAAAGACATGCGGACTGACGTGACTGCAGGGAAGCCCAATGCTCAGGGCCAGGAGGTTGTTCTCTAGGACACCCACACACTTTCCTCCAGGGTACACGCCAACGAAGACTAGGGGTTTTGTTAGCAAACTGGTTTGTATAAGATTAACTTATTTTAACTAAGTTCTTAATTAAGGTTTATATCACCCAGTGAAATCTAGGTACAAAAAGTAGTTGTTTCTATGAAGGGAAGAAGACTCTGACCCTCTCATTAAAAATAATCTCCCAGCAAGGGGCCAGTGAGACAGTGTGGAGTTATATGATCTCACTTATATGTGGAATCTAATAAAATAAACTGATGAACAAAATAGGACCAGAGGCATGGACACATGGAACAGACCGACAGATCTCACAGGGGAGGGGAGGGGGGGACTGGAAGAGTTTAGCCAAAGAACATAAATGCATGTGTAGCCCATGGACATGGGCCAGGGGTGGGGCAGCGGCTGGGTGGATGGGTACAAAAGTGGGGGTGGGAAATGGGAGACATCTGTAATAGTGTCAACCATAAAAAAGTCCTAGGATATACTTTATCACTTATCCTTATAATAGGGCTTATACTTCAACTAGAAAAGTCAGATCTCAAATGTCCCCCTGAAGTCGGGGTCTGGTTCAGTATCCAGACCTGCCTCTTGTCTCTGCAGGCTCAGAAGCCAAGAGCCACACATAGAGAGCAAGGGCTCCCTGGACACTCAGCACAAGTCCTTCCACTTCCCCAGGAGAGTCACTCCATCCTCACTCTGACAGTGAATGACAGCGCCGTCCCTGAGGAATATGACAAAGCAGCACACAAACTCTGACCACTCAGCTTCTTCTCAGCAGATTCAGACTGACCTTGGAGAGCAGATTTCCAAGTATCACTGTCTGCCCCATGCTCCGGAGCTCCTGCCTGGTGACTTGCAGTGCAGCCTGGATTTCAGGAGATGAGGGTCCCAAGAAAGCCTACTTCTCCATTCTGACCTCAAACAGATGGAAGGACCTGCTGTTGGCTTTTCAGGCCCAGGGGTGGGTGAGGGAGCAGGGAGGAAGGGTTCTGCTCCCCAGCAGTGTGGTCCTCCAGAACTTCAGAGATAAGCTCCCAGCCACCCTCTTAATGACAAAACCCAGAGACTGAGACAGAGGCCAGCTTTCAGGACTGGGTCCATGTCTAAGGATCCACAGTGTGTAGTGACCTCCCAACACCTGGGAAGAGAATGTCATCAGGAGTCAGCAGGTCATCATGTTCACAGACAAGGGGTGCTCTGTCCTCTGAGAATCCCAGCTCAGCACGTCCATCAGGTGACCGTGCAGGAGACGGGGTGGGAGGAGTGTGAGCTGGCAGCCCCCCGAGGGAACCCAGACCAGAGGGAGCTCTGCCATTCGTGTCGTGGGGTCCATAAGAAAGGAACTGTTTCTACTCCACTGTAAGGGGGCTCTGGAGGCCGGGGTGCTCCACATGACAGGTGTAGACATCTCCACTCTGGAAAGTCACTTCAACAACACCAAGATCTAGAAAATCCAGACCCTGTTCCTAATACGCATGATGAGTACAATGCCAGCATCTGCTTCCCATGTACAGGATGTTTTTGAGAAGTGTGCACACTCCCCAGGGTGAGCCAATCCGAATCTCTGCTAAGATGGTTGCAACTCTGGCCAACAGTCTAGGAACATACAACAGAGTTAGAGAGACACGCAGAGAAACAGAGATGGGATGAAATGTGAGGTGATGAGAAAGAGAGATGCAGACAACCGAGAGATGCAAAAAGAAACAGGAGAGGGTAAACAGATGCAGGTAAATAGTGGCAAAGGCGCAGCTAGAGAAAATGAGACACAGAGAGGCAGCGGTGCAGTGAGAGACCCAACAGGGAGACAGAGACAAAGATGCAGAGACACACTGGTAGAAACACGCACGGACAAAGAATGGTGTAGAAACAGTTCGTTTCTTATGGACCCACAACACAAATGAGAGAGGAAGGTGCACAGATAGCGCTAAAATAGAAACAGAGAGACCTCATTGAATATCTGGATCTATTGTCTTCTGAAATCAAGTTGACCCTAGGTTTACTTGTAACATGAGCAAAATAAATTTGTGTTAGGTTTCTATCAGGTAAAACCCAATTAGCAGTTCTTTGACGGCTAATTATACTTTCTCAAAAATAAAAATTGATGTCGGCCAACAAGACTTGCCAGAAAATATGTGAAACATCGTGCCCTGTGTCAGTCAGCAAGCACTTCCACCACACTCACCTACAGACCCCTCACCGCCACACTCGCCTACAGACACCACGCTCACCTACAGGCTGCTCACCGCCACACTCACCTACAGACTGCTCACGGCCATGCTCACCTACAGACACCACACTCACCTACAGACTGCTCACGGCCACGCTCGCCTACAGACTGCTCACCGCCACGCTCATCTATAGGCTGCTCACCGCCACGCTCATCTACAGACCACTCGCCACCATGCTTGCCTACAGACACCACGCTCATCTACAGACACCGCACTCGCCTACAGACACCACGTTCATCTACAGACACCACGTTCATCTACAGACACCACGCTCGCCTACAGACACCACGTTCATCTACAGACACCACGTTCATCTACAGACACCACGTTCATCTACAGACACCACATTCATCTACAGACACCACGCTCGCCTACAGACTGCTCACCGCCACGCTCACCTACAGACACCACGCTCACCTACAGACATCACGCTTGCCTACAGACACCACGTTCATCTACAGACACCACGCTCATCTACAGACACCACGCTCGCCTACCGACACCACGCTCGCCTACAGACCGCTCACCGCCACGCTTGCCTACAGACGCCACGCTCGCCTACAGACACCACGCTCACCTACAGACACCACGCTCACCTACAGACACCACGCTCACCTACAGACACCACGCTCACCTACAGACACCACGCTCGCCTACAGACACCACGCTCGCCTACAGACTGCTCACCGCCACGCTCACCTACAGACACCACGCTCACCTACAGACATCACGCTTGCCTACAGACACCACGTTCATCTACAGACACCACGCTCGCCTACCGACACCACGCTCGCCTACAGACACCACGCTCACCTACAGACCGCTCACCGCCACGCTCACCTACAGACTGCTCACCGCCACACTCATCCATAGACTGCTCACCGACCTGGAAGAGGCCAGTGCACACTGCGGCCTCGCCCTCAGCATCAATACTAAAGAACCATGAAGGACGTTACAACTGAAATGATTTTGTCTCCTCTTCCCACCCTTACATGGCACCCCAAGGTGTTTCTTTCTAGTCTTCTTTCAAGGAAAAACCCCTCCTCTGATCCTAGTCTGGCCGGGTCACCTCAGCATGTGTCCCTTTCATTCTGCACTGGTTTCCTGCCTCTGCTCATTTAAGGAGGTTCAGGATACCAATAACTCATAATGTGTTTAATTATGATAAAAAGCTCTGTAGGCAGGTACTTGATTTCAATGTGCTTCTCTTGAGCAGTTTGTTGGGGGGGGGGGGGGATGGAAACAGAGAAACGCCTTGACAGGGACAGGCAGCATCGTGGTCACATCCATATCCTTGGGGTGGGGTCGCAGGGGGTGACCTGAGGACGGTCAGAGTCACTGGGGGACTCTGATCTCAGGGATGGACAGGCTGCCAGGCAGCTGGAACTCTGGGCAAGGACAGGCCCGCATTTCAGGAGAGTGAAAACCGAGCACAAGGAAAGCACCCTCGGGTCAGCGCAGGAGCCCTGTGGGAGAGAGAGTGATCAGCACGGCACCCTGAGGGGCGTGCCCTGGGCCCTACTCTCGGTCCGGCAGCATCAAACAGAAAGCTGAGGTCCAGGGCATATCATCACCTCCCCCAGTATCTGTGTTAAAGTGAAAGCATCCAAAAAGGACCCGCACCTCAGCTCCACGCACCCACGCAGGAGCAGAGGAACAGCTGCTATCCCTTGGGGAGACATGAGCCTTTCAACCTTCTCAGCAAATTTAATGGGAACTAACCTTCCTTCCACCACTAGCAGTCTCTTTCAGTCCCTTATAAACGCCCACAGGCAGGAGCCACCAACACGGGGCACGAAGTGGGCATCATCCCCGTGTCAAACACCCAAGACGTGGCTCTAGCTCCAAGTTTCACACAAAGATGCCACCAAAGTTAAGCCTGGTTCTGGATAACAGCCCCGGAGCCTCCTATAGAAACTGGGTGCACTTCTCCCCTAACCCTTACCCCGTGGCAGGGATCAGGCCATGAAGAGACCTTTGTGACCAGATACCCTCACCTCATGCCCCTCCCTCTTTTACCTCCCCTAACCCCCCCGAACCAGAGCAGAGACAGTACCTGCAGGTGGTGGCCCCGGAGATCCTACGAAAGGAAGGTGCACAGAGAAAGGTCTCAGTACACAGCAGCCAGGCCCGCCCCACCCCCAGGGAAATGAGATAAGCTACTTGACTAGACATTTATTTCCTCCTACCCAGCGGCCACAAGGCCTTAACTGCCCTAAGCTACAATCGCCCAAATGCACGAACCTGACACCAGAAGGAGGGGAAGCCAGTGCTCTGACCTTCTTAAAAGAAGCTTCCAGAAAGGGGCCAGTGAGGCAGTGATGAACTGCAAAGGTCCTGGGACACTCTCCACCAGTCCCTTCTGTGCCAGGGCTACCTCTCAACCAGTAAAACCCAAAGTCCGCCCCTCGGCCTTTCTGTCTCCTCCCACCACCTGCCCAGACCCTTCCTTCCAGGTCAGGAGGTCAAGTTACAGGGAGAAGCAGAGCCCTCCCTCAGCAGAGGGTCTCAGTGACAGCCCACCTTCCCCATTTCCGAGTTCCTCACCCTTCTGTCTCCTGCGACGGACGACAAGGCCCAGGCCCAGGAAGATCAGCCCCAGCACGAGGCCCCCGATGCCACTCAGCATCTTGCTCTGGGCAGACTCCGACTGTGCCCCTGGGGAGCGGAGCCCAGGGTCAGCGTGTGCCCCACACCCATGTCCCTCTGGAAGCCTGAAGTCCAGTCTGAGGTGCAGGGGCACCCGGTTCTCCATTCTGACCACCCCTAGGGGAGGGACCAGCCTAGGGGACACTGCGGGTGGGTGACAGGGGGGAAGTGGACCCCTGTCCCTGAGACACACCTTTAGCCTTGACCCTCAGACCCAGGCACCAGCTGCAACAGTCAGCCCTCCAGAGCTCTCAGGGTCCCGGGCCTGGTGTGCGGAGGGACCGCCCCAGTGTCTGGGTCAGGAACCTGCTGATGCCCCTGCCGGGACACAAGAGGGGCTCTAGTGTCCTGCGATGTCCAGCTCAGCAGTGACACCAGGGACAGGGATGAGATGGGAGGGGGCAGGGGAAGCTGCTTGCCCTCTCTCTGGGGGGCCCAAGGTGAAGGAAATACACTGCCCCTTACGCCACTCCACTGTGATGGGGCCCTGGAGGCTGGGGTGCTCCACGTGGCAGGTGTAGACGTCTCCTCGCTGGGGGGTCATCTCCAGCATCACCATGATCTGGAAGGTCCAGTCCCCATTCCTGATGAGGGGGGTGGACACGACGCCGGCTGTCTCCTCCTGGTTGTTCCGGAACCACCGAACTTGGACCTGGCCTGGGTAGAAACCCGTCACCGAGCAGACCAGCATGTTGTGGTGGTTTAGAGCCTCTGTCTTGGTGGGGGAGATGGTCACTGTGGGTTCCACTGGGGGGAGTGACAGGGAAAGACAGAATGAGATGTGAGACCACACAGTAAGTGTCCCCATGGGGAGAGTCCTCCTGCACCAGAGCAGAAAGGTCCCTGGATTCCAAGTCTGGGACGAGGATCCGAGCTGGGCCATTTTATTAGCTCGAATAAACAGTCAGTTTACTTTTCAGTCTCAAGAGTTAACAGTAATCATTTTATGGGGAGTTATTCTGTTGATACCAATTGATAAAAATTAAGCCCTGTCAAATTTTAAATTGCTATATTTTACAGGACAATATTCATAATATTTTTAAAAATAAATATAATAGCCCTGGCCAGAGTGACTCAGTAGTTAGACCATCATCCCGCAGACCAAAGGGTTGCGGGTTTGGTTCCCAGTCAAGGGCACATACCTAGGTTGCAGGTTCAATCCCAGGCCCTGGTAAAGGTGTGTGGGGGAGGGAACCAATTGATGTGTGTGTGTTTCTCACATGGATGTTTCTCTCTCTCTCCCTCCCCCATCCTTCCATTCTCTCTAAAAATGAATGGAAAAAATATCCTCAGGTGAGGATCAATCAATAAATAAATATTATGAGCCAGGAGGACTTCTTTTCCCCCATACCTATTGCAGGTGACCATCAGGATCAGCTCTGGTGACTCACGCCAGGACAGTGTCACTGTTTTCTGTTGGTCCCGCTGCTTCCCCACAAGAGAGAAAATACATCCGTTTGAGTCCCCTGCTGGCCATGAGACCATCAACACTGGAAGAGGCTCCACGAACAGTAACGTGGACTGAGAATTAAGAACGTAAAGACATTTCTGTGTCCAACAAAGTGGGACAGCAGTGACCATCACATCCTTCCTCCAAAGCAGTGTTTCTCGGCCCGTTTTCTATCATTCTCAGCGGCTGATACCGACCGAGGTTAACAGTGAGAGCACGTGTCACCCACAAAGCAGCTCTCAGCTTTTAGCCCCACCTCAGCTCAGACGTGGTAACCTCCCCATTGAACTTATATTATTAAATACATAAATGTCCATGTCCACATTGTATATGCCACCTATATTTTTATTCATTTACTGAACAAATACAAATAGAACAAGCACTAGTAATAGAAAGAAAAACAACAGACCAGGGTCCCTACCCCTATAGAATTTGCAATCTAGTAAGAGATGAAAAACAAACGTTATTTCAAAGTCTGTAATTTTTTGAAGGAAAAGAAAGAGAAGCCTGAAAACAAGCAACACTGATCAACGTCACATTTGCCCAGGTCTCAGCTCCTTTATCTTCTCAGATCGCCACACGTGCTCAAATACGACACACCCCTCCCGACCTATATGTACAGCTTATCCTTTACCTCTCCAGCCTTTTTACTGCATCTCCCTTTTCCCCATAGTGTGGAACTATGCTAAATAGTTCAGGTGTGTTTCATCTATTTGATAATATGTTATCTTCTTTTTTCCCTAATTTTCTTTTAACATTCAAGTGAATTGAATTACTAGCAGCCTACCCTTCTCCATCCCCTTACTATTAAGAATTACATCTTTGTTCTAACTCAGATATTATTTCTATGTACGTTCTCTGTAGAAAATATTCTGAGATTCTTGCAGGGGTGGTCCTGGGTTAACAAGAATGCAAAGTGGACATGTAGGTCAGTGGGACTTGCTGAGGTCAGCGGGAGTCCCAGCGTCCCCATTGTATGGCACCGGGAGCCATCACCTGGGGGAATCACACTTTCAGCTTAGACTAACACTTGTCAGGTTCTCCTTCCTGGAGACGGGCTAAAATCTGTCAGCTTAGACAGATTGGGAATAAAAATAAAGGGCACGAGTCCAAGAGGGAAATGTTAGAATAATTTTTATGAAAATGACCTGAAGTAGCAAAAATGTAAGTACTTGGTGTTACTAGGATGTGGGTCAGAAGGCAAGAGAGTTATTTGAACATGTATAGATAGGCAGGGTCTGAGTCAAAAGAAACCTGAAACAATTTTTATTCAGTAATTTAATAGCATCAATTTATTCAAAACTTCAGCTCTATTACGCCATTAGTTGAGCTTTTCTAAGCTCAACTGAAATTCTGCTTTATAGCACATTGAAGTGCTGCTTTTGCTTTTAGTGAACACTTTTTTCTTCCAACTTTGCAATCACAACTTCTGAGTTAAGATCCAAGTCAAGAAGAGTTTACTTCAATGCATTAAGCAAAATAGAACAAAACAATAGTCTGTTTTTAAGGCCCTACTTACCCTTCTGTTTTCTACTGAGCCCCGTGCAGGGCAGCTGGGAACTTGTTCATCACTCACAGAGGTTCAGTGAGCTCACCCTGCGCTAGTCACTGGGTCGGCACCAGGCACACCCATAAATGACAGCCCTGCCTCACAGAGCTCCAGGACTAGTGACGGCCACTGAGGAAAACTGAATTGAGATTAATGATAATTTGAGACCAAAAAGTTAAAACAACACGTCACAACTGTGACATGTTAGCACGTGTGCGCGGGGACCTGATGGCGGCCGCGGAGGCCCCGAACCCACCCTGCAGTAGGTGATCTGAGACGGGCCTGGCTGGGCTCACCGCGCACCGGGGCAGGGGCAGGGGGCACGCGGGGCGCCGGGCAGCTCGGGCAAAGGGGAGACGAGGAAGCAAACACGCCACGCGCGAGGCGGGCGGAGCAGAGTGGGTGGAGGAGCAGGCGGCGGGGGCTGGCGGGACCTGGGCCGGCTGCCTGGTCCATCCCGGTTCTGCCCCCGGTCCGGCCCGGCGTCCGCCCTCCAACCCCGACGCTCCCTGCTCTGGGGCCGCGGCTCGGGTCCCAGAGGCCGCCCTCCGGGCACGGAGATTCCCCGCCCCGGGTGGGCCGGGGCGCTCACCTCGCCGCTGCAAGGTCGTGAGGACCTCGTTCCCGTAGTTGTTTCTGCACACCGTGTCCACCTCGGCCCGCGTCTGCTCCAGGACGTCCTTCTGCCCGTTGAAGTACTCGGCGTCCGGCCGCCCCAGCTCGGTCACCGCCAGGAACTTGCCCACGTCGCTGTCGAAGCGCAAGTGCTCCTCCTGGTTGTAGATGTATCTGACCACGTGCCGCACGCGCTGCGTCCCGTTGGTGTAGTAGCACTGGCCCTTGAACTGGAGCACGAAGTCCTCTGCGGGACGGCGCCCGGTCAGGCCCAGCCGCACAGCCCCGCACAGCCCCGCACAGCCCCGCGGGGCCCGGCCCGACCCAGGCTCCGCCCGCCCGCCCCGGCCTCCCGCTCCAACCCCGGACACCGGCTCCCCCCCCCCCCCCCCCCCCCCCCCCCCCGGCCGGGCTCCCGGAGCTGCCTCAGGGAGGGAGGGAGTGTCCCCGGACCTGGGACCCTGCCTGAGCCTGACCACGCTCAGGGACCGCAGTCCTGTGACTTCACATCCACCCCGTCCTGAGAGCCACCCAGACGGCCTCACGTGAAACCCACTTTCCACGGACCCCCGGGACCTCCGACACGAGTGTCCACACAGGGGCGCCGGGCAGCGCGAGGGGAGCAGGAGGCGCAAGGGCAGCACTGCGCCTGCTCCACCTGAGGCCTGTGCCCGCGGGGGGCCGGGGGACCCACACCGCCCCCCCCAGAAGGGACGCTGTTCGTGGGAAGCACAGGCTTTCGGAGTAAACGAATCAGATTCCAGTTACGCGGTGCCCGTTACCGGCTGGGACGGGATGCTCAGAGCATCCACAGCAGACCTGCGATTGTGTAAAAAGACCATGAGACCTACACACGGGGTGTAGGGAGATTGACAGAATTTATATGAAGATACAGTCCTGTGTCTGAAATAAATGGTTTCCCGGTATGTTATTCCCCTTTCTCCTAAATTCAGCCCACCATCAACTCAGGACCAAACCCACCCAGCTTCTATTTGACCATATATAGTGACACTGGAGTAGCCTGGTGTCTGGTCAGCAGCCAGCTTCTCTCAGACCCACCCAGGCTCAGGGACGCGGAGTCCTCTCCTCCAGCCTGACACCCGCGGCCACGACTGCCCCACATTCCCGCCTCAGAGCCCCTTGGGGTGTAGTCCACACGGGTCCGGGTGACCCTGGAAGGAGGCATCCTGCTGCTCTTGAGAGGAAGTCTTGTCTTCAGAAGTAACCCCGTTCCCTGTCCCTAGCAGGTGCACACTGTCCCCTCCCTCCCCTATGACAGCCCCAGGTTTGAGCCAGTGAGATGGCTTTTGTCCCCGCCTTGTCATTAGAAGGCGTAAATGAAAATGTAACAGCTCTTTCCCAAAGAGAGGAAATGTGGGACAAAAGACTGTGTTCTCAGGTAATAGTCACCCCACGCCCAGCCCCAGGGTCCCTCAGAGCCGGTTCCCAGGCTGGTGGCTCTGGGGAGCAGCTGCCCTGGACTCACCTGGGGAGTCTGTGCCCTCGGCCACTGGGGCACCGAGCACCACCAGCGCCACCAGCGCCACCAGCGCAGCTGCTGTCCACAGGCCTCCCGGGGTCCGCAGAGCCGGCTCCCCAGACGTAATCGAGAACAAAGGAAGAAGTAATGGCAGTGAACCCCGCTCCATATGATGACTCCAATGTAGCCACTTCAGAGAATAAAAACCTGAGAAAGCCTCCACGCAGGGTAGGGTCGGAGAGTTCCTGGGAAAGGAACCAATCAGCACTGGAGCTGAGGTCCCTCATCTGTCTCTGGGCAGATGTTTTCTATGAAGGTTCTTTATCCACCGCCCAGCACTGTGTCTTCATCAAAGTGCACTGAATGAGCATTTGAAGACTTTCTCTCAGTTGTAGAAGATCTGCAGATTGAATGCCTTACGGGTTTAAGGAACTAAAAGAGAAAAAATGATTCAAGAGTAGACATCTTTGTGATATTTAGTTAAAACCTATTGTTCTGATACTTGGGATGTTTAGTAGGGGAAAATAAGTGGGGATCATGTATCAGGAGAGAGAAAATTACTGTCACGGAGATGTTCCCTTCTATTATAGTAGCCACTCCAAGGAGCCTTAAGTTGTGGTGGGAAGAGCAGAGCTGGGAAGGAAATGGTTTTGAGCTGTAGCTGTAACCACAATGTGTTTTAAGACAAACAACAAATTACTCAACCTCTTTTTTTTTTTTTTTTTTTGAAAAATGTGGATCATGTTTTATGCATATCTCCAGATCTCTGTATATACAAGCTTGGGGGTAATAAGACGTTTAATGTTGCAGAATGCTCCTCTGCTGCCATATGTAACTATTGGGAATAGCTAGTTCATATGTGGAACAAGAAACAAGCCCAGAATTCCGCACCCAACCCTGCCAGTATGAGATTCTTCATTATGCAAAAATCTGTTGTATTCATGTTGTTTGAATGAAAGTATTTGAAAAGCTGACTTTTCTCTTACAGGCTTTCAGCTACTTCAGTTCTCCCTGAAGCATGAAACAGGTCCATCTGCTGTCAGCCAAGGTACAGTCCACAAACCTTCACAACAATCTGACACAGCCTCCTTTGGTTTCCAGGATGCAGAGAAGCATTCCCTGGGGCCTGGGCAGTGTGACTGTCCTGACCTGGGCTGTGTACTCTGCCCTGTCCTTGGCTGTGCAGTCTGTCCTGCCCTGTGCTGTGTATTCAGTCCTGCTCTGAGCTGTACAGAGGAGGCTGCTTCAGGACTGGGGATTCCCCCTTCTCACTGGTCTCTTCATGAAGATGTCTCTACTTAGTAACAGAAGTGTCAGTTTAGACTGCTTTTTCTGATTGGCTAAAATCTCGTCTGCTAGACTCAAACCAGGCAGCATTCTCTACAGTGTCTAGAGTTCTCTGCACCGTCCCTGTCCTGGCCGCATTGCTCAGGGCAGCCACAGCTGGCCGGGCCTGGGAGGAAGGCCACACCCACAAACATCATGATTCTGGGCACCTCACCTGAATCACCAGGCAGGGCCCCTGTGGAGACAGAGCACTCAGGATGAGGGCAGTGTGCCCACGTGGGTAGACAGTGGGATAAAAAAAAAAAAAAAACACCGTTAAAATGAGTCAGGGGTACAGTAGGGCAGTAGGGAGACTCCCCAGGGACATCCTCTGTTCCCTTGGGGTGAAAGATCAAAGTTGTGGACTCTGGAAATTCAGGGAGGAATCGTCTTCCCTGCTCAGCACCCCCTGGAGTCTGTGCTGGCCAGTGGGGTTAACTGCGAACATAATCATCTCATCACCAGAAGCACCATCCAGGACCCCACTCTGCCTTCACTTCTGGTGTCAAGAAACATTGTTCATTTTAAGGGGTTCTGTGGGCTCCTTAATGCCAGCAGTAATATAATTAGAAATGCTGTCTCAAAATATTATGTCCCTTTAATAAAAATGTGTCAAGCGTGTATTCCTAAATTTTTCTAAATCGTTACAAAGCTCACATGTGTCCCCATAAGAACGCTTAGGCAACGTATATTCATTTTCCACGACACAGTAACGTCGGTCCTTTTTCTACAGAACCTTGCCTCACTAAAAGCACATTTCAGAGAATCCGAGGAAAGAGTTGAATTAGTAGCAGAGTGACCGCGGATAAAACATTTCAGCTCTGAAACGCTCAGCATTGCCTCATCTGTGGGAAGCAGCACCATACAGGACCCTGTGATGAACACAGGCTGATGTGTCACAGTCCCCTAGGGGCGGCGCTGAGCACCTGCATATTCCTTTGAATGTACTGTAGCCAGTTCATCCTTGCTGACCTCACTAAGGGAGACAGCAAAGTCTCCTTGCTCCTCATCTCTGTGCACCTGGTGGAATTACAGTGAGTCTGAACCCTCCCTCTTACGCATCACTAAGGACAGAGAGCAGGGAGAGCTCATCACCTGGGTCTGACCCTGACTCCCCCCCTTCTCCCTCTGACGTGCCACCACTACCCCGCACAGAGCTGCCCTTTCCTTGTAACTTCAGATCTCAGCACCCGGTCCTCCTCGCAGTGGGCTCAGCGATGTGGAAACTTACATGCAAAACACAGAGTCATAACACGAACTGGTGAGCAGAAGAGGGTGAGAGCAGCTTCATGAGCAACGTGGGCTATGACGACACAGGGTTCGCCCACCTCTATTGCATTTAGAGGAAGAGGCCTGGCCACTCCCCTTATGGCTGCTGCCAAAGTCTAAAAGCCCCGCATTCCCACCCCATGGGCAGGGTCCCCTGCACTCAGCTCTGACACTTCTGTGCAGTCTTGTTCCCTGTAGTTCTGTCCCCCTCCCCCAAACCCAGATGGTGGGGACCATCACAATATTTTTTGTACCCCTACATAGTAAGGTCCTGAGCTGCAAAGATGAAAATACAAGGGCCCTGCCTTCCAGGAGTTCACTCATGGGGGGGGAGGGGTACACGGGGAAAACAAGAGACAAAACTGCAATAGCCACACAGGGGAACGGCACCCACGCGACTGAGGGCGGTGGGAGGCTCAGGACACAGAACTGTAAAGTGACAATGGGGCCGTTGGTTCAGTTATTTCCTTGTCTCTTGGAAATGGTTGGCAACATAGGACTAGAGGTCATTATTATTTGTGGATTGATTCATGAAGAACAATTTTTCAAGATGAGGAGGACGGGGAGTCGATGGTGTGGAGGTCGTGTCAGGACTGAGCCCGGCTTTCCCCGGTGGGTCCGCTTCTCAGAGGAGGTGATGACTCCGCAATAAAGGGCCCTTCAGGCAAAAACAGGGGTGCAGACAGACAGGTCTGGCAAGACTTGGGGTGGGGGCACTCACCTCCTGTGGTTCGGTATGCTTAGAGGGTGGGATTCAGGTGCACTGGCCTTGCCAGGTTTGACCACAGCAGCACTGAAAGTGACCTGGTTGTTCCCCGCAGTGTGACAGGAGAAAACAGGCGCTTTAAGCAGAGGAGAGCCCTGTACTTTCCCGTTCACACACCGGGAAGCTGCACGGAGGGCACTATGCAAGGGGCTGTAGGTTCTTTATGTGATGGAAAAAGGATCCGGTGAATTAGAAGACCCCAAACCACCAAGAACCGGTTTACTAAGGAACCAATTTGCCAATGACCAGTTTGCTAAATTGACTAAAAGTATTACTGTACCCCAAACTCCTTTCTCTTTTTTGTATTTCTAAAGTTTGTTAAACATACGTTAAACCATAGTTGATGGGTTGGAAGTGCACTAGGGCTGTGAATCCCAACAGGCTGGTGTCTGGCCTCCTGCTGCCCCGCCCCCATTCCCTTGCTCTCCAGGGCTCTACTCCCTCTTTCTGCCAGTAAATAGCCCCAAGAGCCAGGAAGCTTTAGAGCAACTGCATTTACAAACACACAGTGGAAACTAGGCAATGACAAGCCACTGACAATTTCAGAAGTTGTTTAAAGTACTTTGAATACAAATTGAAATAAACATTTTAAATAGTTAAAAATATGTTTTGGTTGAATTTCATTAATTTTATAAATTGATGCTACAGAGAAATTAGCAAGAGAAACTTTAAATGCTAAAATTTATTATTATAATCATTATTTCTTTATTGATTTTAGAAAGAAAGGAAGGGAGAGGGAGAGAGAGATAGAAACATTATGAGAGGAACATCGATTATCTGCTTCCTGCACGCCCCCCACTGGGGATTGAGCCCACAACCTGGGCATGTGCCCTGACCAGGAATCCAACTGGTGACCTCTTGGTGTATGGGTCAATGCTCAACCACTGAGCCACACCACCTGGGCTAAATTTTATAAAAATGAAATACAATTTCAAAAGTATTTGATATGAATATATATAAAGTGAAATTTTTTAAAAATATGAAATGCTGATATTTTTGTAATGTTCACTAGAAAATTAATGAATAAATTCAGCCCTGGCCGGGTGGGTGGCTCAGTTGGTTGGAGCATGGTCCCATACACCGAAAGATTGCAGGTTCAATGTCAGGTCAGGGCACATACCTAGGTTGCGGGTTGGAATCCCTGCTGGGGAGCATACAGGAGGGAACCAACAGATGTTTCTCTCTCTCTCTCTTAAAAATGTCAATAAAAGATATCCTTGAGTGAGGACCTAAAAAATTAAAAAATAAAATAAAACTATTCCTCAAACTAAGTTTTGATGAATTACTAAATTTACTAAATCTGGTAAATATATCAGCAGCAACCTGAATGGGCCAGCTGCTGTGAGCTGTCCATTTACTCACGACTCCGCTGACTAACCCACAGACACGACCTTGACAGTGAGCAGGAGCCTCCACCCACAAGTTGTTTTTATCCAGTTCTGGACCCAACTTTTCAAATATAAGATCCTCCAAAGAAAACCCAGCCACGTGGGGAACCTAAGAGAAAGGGAGAGGAGATTGGGTTTTGTACCGGGTGCTTTCAGCACTGGTCCCGTCTGATCAGTGCGCGTGCGCGGTGTGAGGTGCCTCCTGCAGCCGTACCCAGCCTCCTCCTTCCGTGCTCTGCCACCTTGGATGGGCAGCTGAGCACACGGGCACGGGGCACCCTCTCTATGCCAGGTGCCCTACGACTTTGACTCAGATGGGCAGTTCTACATGGACCCTGTAGAGGAAGGTCAAGTAGGAACAACCTGAGATTGACAGGTTTGTAGCATCTGACTCTTTGGAGAACCGAGGAACACTGCTCACCAAACACTAGTCTGGATGTCATGACTGATGTT